CCCAACAGCACAAGCACATTCTAGAGGCCATATACCAGATGCCTTCCAGCCCGCCGTTCCCACACTCACCCAAAAAAATGCTAAAAGGGAAATCTGAGACGTCATCACCCTTCTCTTCCCATCATCCCTGAATCATCCTCACGCTTTCCCTCCTTTTCCTCTCCCCCGACCCCGCATCCCACCCCCGTCTCCCCTCCCCATCCTCCCTATATCACCAGGGGCGGCTGCATTTGAAGCGGCGGTGGCAGCGGTGAGTCTGTACGGCGGCGCTCAAGCCGGCTACCGCACCATGCTGGATGTGCTTCTGCCCGCCGCTGCCAGCCTCTCTTTCTCTCAACATCACGCCAGGCCAGGAAATCTGACACGTGTCTCAATCCCTTCTCTTCTCGTCGCCCCTAACCCATCCCCCCTCCTTTTTCCCTTTTCCTCTGCCCCAACCCCCTACCCCCCTTCCCCTGCCTCCCCTCCCCTCCCCATCCTCCCTATATCACCAGGGGCGGCTGCATTTGAAGCGGCGGTGGCAGCGGTGAGTCTGTACGGCGGCGCTCAAGCCGGCTACCGCACCATGCTGGATGCGCTTCTGCCCGCCGCGGCCACTCTCTCTCGCAGTGTCAAGGCAGGGGAGTCTGCAGCAGCAGCGCTGGCTGCTGCTGCTCAGGCTGCTGCTGCAGGAGCCGAGTCAACCAAGTCAATGCCAGCTCTGGTGAGTCAATCAAGTCAATGCCAGCTCTGGTGAGTCAACCAATCAATGCCAGCTCTGGTGAGTCAATCAAGTCAATGCCAGCTCTGGTGAGTCAACCAATCAATGCCAGCTCTGGTGAGTCAACCAAGTCAATGCCAGCTCTGGTGAGTCAACCAATCAATGCCAGCTCTGGTGAGTCAACCAAGTCAATGCCAGCTCTGGTGAGTCAACCAATCAATGCCCGCTCTGGTGAGTCAATCAAGTCAATGCCAGCTCTGGTGAGTCAACCAATCAATTCCAGCTCTGGTGAGTCAACCAAGTCAATGCCAGCTCTGGTGAGTCAACCAAGTCAATGCCAGCTTTGATGAATTAACTGAAGCAATGCGAGCTCCTGTCTGATATCACATTTCTTTCCTCATTCTTGATAAACAGTTCCACCTTCCACCAACGTGTGGGGAAAGGTGTAGGCTCGGCATTGCTGCCCTGACCTAAAAGTCCATCTCCCTGTGCAATCCATTATCCATGCACCGCGTAATTCATTGACGCTGCACGACGAATTATTGAACATTCTGTGAGTCTTTGAACAATGTGATTCAATCAACACTGCATGGTTATTGAATCCATCTATACATGGTTCCTCTCTTCTCCAGGCTGGCAGGTCCAGTTATGTACCAGCAGAGGTGTTGGCATCGGTGCCTGATCCTGGAGCCATGGCTGTAGCGGCATGGCTGCAAGGTGCCGCTACAGCCATGCAACCTCCCGAGCCTGTAGTGGAGTCTGTAGCAGAGCCTGCAGCGGCAGCAGCGGCAGCACCATCAGCACCACAAGAACAGTTGTAGCTTGAACCTCTTTGCAATGGCGCACCACGTGTTTGCTCTAGACTAGAGCGAGTCGTCCATAGGTCAGCAGAAATATATGGCTGGAAGCATGCGTTATTGTTTCCACGTTCAATAAAGATGCGATTCAAGCTCGCTCACACGTACCTGCAACTGGCAGGATATGCATTGATGAGTGAGCGACTGAGAAACACATTGGTCTTATAATAAAATAATTATATTCAGAACAACATTGCGTATTATTGAGAAAGGTCTGGAAAAGTTTGGCAGACGCAGTTATCATGTTTTTGCGAAACAGCTTATGCGAAATTATTGTGTGCATCCGCAAACCTCCGAACCTCCTTTGTTGTCAGCCCCGAAGCACGTCTCCAACCAGTCAAGCAAGCCCAAGGCTGTGTGAGTGACAATCCCAAGGCTCAAGGAGAGGGCCTCCGCCGCATTCAATCTCTATCTAACCATTCTTGATCTTTCTTGGCCGCTGTGAAACTCCTTAAGCGAGCCATCCTGGGCACGTCCCACAGGCAGTCCAGTTGATGGTTGATGGCGGGAGGGCCATTGGGGAAACCGTACTGGCGGTTGCCTCGGAAGCAGAAGAGAGAGGACATGGAAGGCAGAAGAGAATGGATGGATGTTTCTGTCTCATAAACCGATTGAATAGAGTGGGATGCTGTAGGGTGCTGTGGGATAACGTAGGGTTCTTGTACTAGTAGCAGCCTCAGGGTTGTGGTGACGCAAGGACCTGTACTGCACCAGCAATAGGCCGCCTCCCGTCACGTGCTGCACGGCATGCTTCTTGTGGAAGCCTCTGGCGTTCCTTCCAATCCCAACAATCTTTCTCTGACATCAGCACATGCGGTTGGTTATGGTTGGTTCGCGAAATGGATTCCGTGCAAATGCCATCTCACCTGGAGGTTGTTGCTTCAGTGATGGATATTTTTTAGAAACAAAGTCGTGCACGTTGTACAATTTTGCAACAGCTTCCATTAATGTCAGTTTCGTGCCTAGGTTTCAGCTTGAAGTGATAGACTTGTTGGTTGGACAGGGCTAGCTTGCCCTCGCTCTCTGGGCTACTTGGGGTCGATTTAGATAGGGTAAGGAAGGGGTACCCTAGTCGATACCCTACAGTACTAGTGTGAGGCCAGAATGTGTATTCTTCTCCCGCCACATGTGCCCTTGCTGAGTCAACGCGGTGTTGAATCATGTAGCATAGCCACGTCGAATGTTTGCCTTGGCCTCAGGGTCGCCGCTCTGACTTGCAACCCCGAGTGTTAGATTGGTTAAAATGCATGCACTGTACAGCAAGCCCGTAGACTGTAGACCGTTTAAAGCCGGCAGCCCAAATTGTTCATCCTTTAAAAAGTTGACGAGAGGGAGCTTTTCTGGTTTGGGGTTGGGCGAGTGTTTCAGATTTCGTCAAATTCGGATTTTTCGCCAAACCCAGCCAGCCCCCGGATCCCCCCCTGGTGGGTGGGGTCACACTTCGAAAGTCCCAAATTGCAGGTGCGCTACTTTCAAAACTTGCACACTCCTCTTCGTCAAGTTTTAAAAACTTGACCCGCGCGGCCCGCAATTTGGGACACGGGCTTTAACACACGAGCGGCGACTGCGAGTGAGAAGGAGAAGGATGAGGAGGATGAGGAGGAGGAGAAGGAGGAGGAGGAGCGCTTTTTTTCCAACAGAAAGCGCTTAGAGTCGTTAGAAAGCGTTCGGAGTTGTTCGCTTGCCGGATCGGACCATATCGTACTGTCGGACAGCTCACCTACGTGAAGTGCCTCCTATCACGTGGAGTGCTGACGTGAAGTGCAGACGTGGAGTGCAGACTTTTGAGACGTGTCGCAGAATTTTATTTTGAGACGTCTCGACTCGAATGAAACCCTTTTGCGATGCCTCAAGGACCTCGTGTGCTGTCCGGTACTGTCCGATTAGTAGCGACGGTGCTCGTATGACGCGGAGGTCGATGTTTGAGTCGAACTAAAAATAAAAAAAGGTGAAATTGAGGGCTTCCTTTCACGTGAAGCGCGAATCGCAGCGATGATCCTGTGGATAAACGCAACGCCATGCCAGCTATCGGAAATGATACAGCCTCCCTGACAGCTCATCCGTTCGCCACTTCTTCATCGCCATTTGATCCCAGCCCTGGGATGGTACTGTAGTAGACGCCATGATTGGTGCATCCACGGACAGCTCCGAGCTGAGTTAGCTGCCTCAAAGAGTTTTCAGGCGCCTCGAAAGTGATCTAGTGATCTCAACGGGTGTGGGATTGCCAGCCTTGGGATGGTATCGTCGTGGATGGGGAATGCGGCTCAGATGAGCGTCACTCACTCCCCACCCTGATCGCAACACCATCGCAGGGTGATGCTAGCTCTGGGACGCACGCCATTGGTGCATCCATGGATAGGGATACAGCTCAGATGAGCGTCGTTACGTCGCTCTCTCTGACCACTACTCCCCACCCCGATCTCAACACCATCACCGGGTGATGCTAGCTCAGGGACGCACGCCATTGCCATTGGTCGTCGCCTCTAAGCCATCACGTGGAGCTTGTGCTTTCCAGACCCAAAAGCCAAGGGTCCTGCGCTCTAGATTCAAAAGCGCAGCTATGCTAGGAATGCCGCACCATGTCGCGCGCACTGCTCAGGCCTGTTGCTAATTGCCTGTTGTTAATCGCCTGTTGTTAATCGCCTGTGCTAATCTCCTGTTGCCGGTCTCTGGGTAGGCGGCAGCTTCTGGTGGCTTGTGCCCGCCTCTGGTAGCCCCTCGCTGTGCGCGTCTTCTCCCATTGCTCTCACACTATTTCTGTACTCAGCACTATTTTCACATATCTCTGTCTGATCCGCCTAGATTCGAGGAAACTTGGCCTGTTCTCTCGTATCTTAGAGTTTAGGGATGGATAGATCAATCAAGGGGCACCTTCACGCACGAGCGGCGTGTGGTTTGAAACGGAGGTTTGTAAGCAGTCCCTCATGTTGCTGCTAGTACCCAGGATGGACGAGACCACTACTGAACGCGAACCTACTTCCGCCTCTCGTTCCCCCGCCTCTCCCTCAAGTCTAGAGCATCGCCGCTATCCCGCCCCGCCACCGCCCGGAGATTGGATAAGGCTCGAGCAGTTCTCGAATTCGAATCCGAATTCGAACCAGTTTTGATAAGACCCGTGCTCTCCTTTTGAAAGTTAATCTCTCCGCGCCTTCCTTTGCTGAATTACGCAAAGCCGCGTTCCTCCCTCCCACTGCCGCTCAGCTCATGGTCGTTCAGCTGGTCTTGGAGGCGCCTAGAAGCGCGTTTATACCCTCCACTCCTCTGCTTGAATGCACTAAGCCGCCGCTCCTCCCTCCACTGCAGCTCACCCCACAGCCGTTCAGAGAGCCACCCCTAGGGGAATCCCATCATACCAAGCCTCTTCCTCACTACCGTGGATCGTTCTTCCTCGCTCTATTCTATCTTGGAGAACTCGCGTGCTTGTCAAGAGTCCTCGGTTGGCCATGGCTCCATGCGAGCTCGTGTCCTATCATGCGAATCACCATTGGGTGGAATCACCGTTGGCGCTGGCAGAATGCATGGTGATGCAGCAAGGGAGCAGCAGCAGCGGGAGTGTCGTCGTGGACATGACCCGCGGACAATGCCAATGCGCCGGGCAATGCCAATGCGCCGCTGTGGACGAGCCTTCTCAACCATGGGCGTTTCTTCAACAAGTCGAGTCGACTTCTGGTTTTCAAGTATCATCTGCTTCTTCTCAGGAAACTGCGGCTTCTCAAGAATCAAGCGTTGCTTTTCAAGAATCAAGCGTTGCTTTTCAAGAACCCCTAACATCCGTCCGCCGTGACTCCTACTCCCAGCAATCACTGTCCAGCTCCCCTCCCGCCACTCACCCTCGCAGCAGCCGCCACTGCTCTTCCCCCTGCACGTCCCCCACTTGTTCCCCGGCTGTCCCTCACGCCCCCTCCTCCGTCGCCCCCACTCGATCCGCCCCTCACGCCCCACTCCTTCACACTCCCCCCGTCGCTCGCCCCACTCGCTCAACCACTCTCCCTCACACGCCACCCCCCCCCTCCTCTGCTGCGCCGCCCGCTCGGTCTCTCCGCAGAACCTTCTGGCGGCTGCTCCAGCGCTGCCAGCTGTCGGATGACGTGGCACTGCAGGCGCTGGAGGGGCGGCTGCAGCTTCTGGACGCGCACAGGGCGCTCAGCAGCGTGCGGTGCCAGCAGTTCGTGACAGCGTTTGAAGGGCCACACAGGGGGACTGCGCTTGAGGCATCTCTGGGAGCAACTGCGGCTGAGTCGACGCACAGGGCGCTCAGCAGCGTGCGTTGCCAGCAGTTTGTGACTGCGTTCGAGGGGCCCCAGAGAGTGGCGGCGTTTGAGGGCTCTCAGAGGGTGACAGCGTTTGAGGGGCCACACAGGGAGCTCACCAGGACACGATTGACCACCTCAGGGTCATGGGGTGATGCTGTTGCTGGTGCTGATGGTGCTGATGACGCTGATGGTGCTGTCATGGGAGCCGTGCCCATGGCTCTTGAGGTGCGAGAACCAGGTGCTGGAGGACGGACTGTGGCAGATTGCGCCGACGAGAATTCCAGCGATGGGGATTCCACTGGAGCGGGGCAGTGCACGCCGCATGCGCGTTCCTGGATGGCTGATCTGGCATATTATAATGAACCCAGAAGGTCCAATTCGCTCCAGCCAACTCCTTCACTCACTTCAACCCGCTCTCTCGCCTCAACTCCATCCTTTAATTCCACTCCCTCCCGTGGCTTCTATTCACTCAACTCAACTCCCTCTCTGGACTCAACTCCATCTTACACCTCCAACGTTCATTCCATCCCGTCAAGGAGGCGAAGCTTCTCTGGTGCAGCAGAGAGGCTTCCGAGAAACTTCTTGGGTGCCAGGCACTGTTCAAGAAGGCGAAGCTTCTCTGATGCTGTGGCCTACACGCCTCTGCCTCTGCACAAGCAGCCGCAGCAGTGGCAGCAGCTTTATCATCCGCAGCAGCAGGAGCACCATCGTCGTGCCAACAGTCACGAGCAACAGACTCACTATCAGCGGCACTCTCATCAACAGCATCATCAGCATCAGCATCAGCATCAGCAGCAGCATCAGCAGCAGCATCAGCAGCAGCAGCAGCATCAGCATCAGCATCATCAGAATCTGCAGCAGCATCACCCCAGATCTGTGTCAAGAGCTGAGATTCGCGGCAGCAGGTCAGCCCGTTTCAACCACACACCATCTGTTTTCGACTCACAATTTCCACACGCCCTCCGAGTCCCCTCCTGCCCTTCAATCTGACCTGCGTTCTCCGATGTGATCTATACCCACAAGTCTGAGGTTCGCCTCAAGGTGCCTGTCCTATGACATTCAGCACCCTGCTTCCCCCTCTCGTCTGGTGTACCCATTAAGGCGATCACAGGTTGCGAGTGGTGCCGTGTGGCATCTGCTCCGGTGTATCTCTATTGCAATAAGCTCACTTGTTAGTTTCTCTTCCCACACCCCCCCTCCCCCCTCCCTCATGTGTGTTGTTGTAGCTAGGGGGTTGTAGTAGTGCCCCTGCTTGTATAAATGGTGCAGCTAGCACCAGGTAGGAAATTTCTTGCAGCATCGTCTGCTTGTGTTCATATATACATGTCTACATTCCAAGAGTTTGCCACAGGCCTCTTGATATAAGGGTGAATCACCCTTATGACCCTTACTATAAGGGTGTGTTCTGATTCGGACCCTTACTTTACAAAGTGGATTTTTTTCTGACACTTAAAGGAAAAAGTGAATATGTTTAGGACCCTGATATTTCAGAGTGAAGTGGTGTAGTCGCACTGATCGGGAACATACATTCTCCTCAAAAAGTGAGTGAGCTCAAAGAACCAAGTTCCATGGATAACATGCCCACCTAATGCCTCCTACAAGTATCGATCCCGCCTCCCTTTCACAAGACCCACTGTGCTAAGTTGTCACGCTAATAATCAACTAGGTATATATTATTAACAATTCTAATTTGGTTAAAACCCTTACAAAAAATAGGGGTGCTTGCCTGGTACCCTTACAGAAAGAGTGAAAGCAGCTGTTTACCCTTATGAGAAAGACTGGTTCAAATCATATCCAGAGGCCTGGTTTGCCAGCTTTGTGACACAGCAATGGTCAGTAGGTAGATGAGGGTTCAATGTTGTTGGAAATATAAAGCATAAAAAATAGATATATGCTGTTAGGTTTTAGTGTAATCCTCTATATAAGCCTCTAGGCCCTACAATGATTGTACAATTATTGTAGGGCCTGCATTATTGGAGTCTAGAGGTTTGGGGGTAGAATTATTGGTACTCCTTTATTGGAGTTACCATTATTGGAGGCAGGGCCCAAAATTGGTTTAGGCCTACCTTTACGAATCAGGGTACCAGCCCCTCCATAGGCAGACCCCTAGGGTAAAAAATCTCATACCCTGTTTTCAGCAGGGTAACTCAGCCACTAGCCTGATTCGAGCAGGGTAGTTTTAGGCTAATCCTGGTTTTGTGTCTATTTTGAGAGTTTCCTTACTTTTGGTGACATATTCAAGTTTTCCTTATACAGTCCTTGAAATCCACGCACGCACCACATGCATGCACAACGAGGGCCAAGCGAGAGACCCCCTCGTAGAGAAGGCGCCTCTGGCAGCCTCGACAGGGCAGTATGTTCCACGGGGCGGGCCCTGTGATGGCCAGCAAGGCAGCACTGAGGCTGCAACTGGATGTCAAAAACAGCTTGAAGCTGTCCTTGACAGCCAATTCTGCTGTGATGGCGGTGGGCGTGGCGAAAACTGACGAGGTGCAATCATTGGTGGCAGCCCTGCGGCAGAAACAACCAATGCGGATTCTTGGCGTGATGCCAAGTACGCAGCAAGTTTCCGTGCGCGTGGGCACGAGCGACAACGGGTGTTTGTGGGGGTGTTGTACGTTTTGTCACCACGCGGACTATAGTCAGTTTCGCGTTAGAACAGATTCGGTAACAGGGTAGTGTACACCCAACCCTGATTCCGCCAGGGTAAGCTAAAAAACTATCAGGGTAAAAAAAAACATGCACTTTTATGAGAAGGGTAACTATAGCGCAATCCTGATTTCGGCAGGGTAATCCTGAAAAAGGGACAGGCCCCCAGGGTAATCAGGGCGTTTTACCCTGATATTTTGGGCCCTGATTGGAGGTGCAATTATTGGTGTGGATGGATGGATATGGGCAGGGTAGTTGATAGCATAAATGCCCTACTGTGTGGTTTCATAACCAATCCATTGTTCTGAATCCTTTCAGTTGCAAGTTTCTCTTGCTATCTATTCTACAATCAAGGCTTCCGCTACGACGGCACTATGCATTTCTAGCATGGTATCAGAGCTACTCTAGGGGGCATGCTGCCAAAATTTGGTCAGAAACCTGTTACACTTCATATTGGACAGGCACATCAGCAAATTGGCATAGCAAGAGGCAACTATTGGATCAAGACATGGCGCGGTTCGAAGATGAAGTCGACGCTCTGTACGAGGCGTTTGAAGAAGCAATCTTAGCTCAACATGAGCACCTGGAGAACATGATTGCAAGGGCTCCACCAACAATTCAAACGTCATTGAGAGCAAAGTTCAACATGCAAATTGGTGAAAAGAATGGCAGATTTGATAAAGTGGGCGTGGAAGGTGTGGGTTTTGAGTCCTGCACTATTGGTGCTCCCCCGCTTCAGTGTGTTGTCATTAACTCTCATCCCATTGGAGCCCCCGTAATGGGCAGATCTCACCTTCTTGAAGACAGCATCATACCTCCCCGCGCGCGTGGTCCACTAATGGGAGTGGATCCTGCATGGAGCATGGAGCGCACGAGTCATGGGATGCAGTAAAGTGGTGATTTGCGGTGTGATCGCGCGGATGTGGTGAAACATCCCTCTTACGATCAAGACGGCATGACGCAACGCATGGCTGGACAAGCGCGCATAAACAACTCACCTGCGAAGGAGACTACCGGGAGCAAGAGTGATCGGAATACGACAAAGTTAACTGAAGGGCAGCAAAAGGAGAACACAAACGGCAATGACGGAAGGGGGGGACGCAAGCCTCTCGTGTGCTGGTACTGCAGACGATCTGGCCACCTGTTTTACAAGTGCCACACGGCACCACCAAGATGGTCACCACCGTGGTGGGAACAACAAAACAATGGGAGGCCCCGGCGCACCTGGAGTAGCCGTTCGACCTCACCTCGGAAAAGCGGCAGCCCCAAGAGTGACAACAAGCAGCAAACGGGTGCTGGGAGAGGCAACATACACACGGTTACATGCATTGCAACGGTTCATTCGTCCCAAACGACATCACCAACAGCTGGAGGGTCACAATGGATGCTGGACAGCGGTTGCAGTCTGCATATGACGTCGGACAAAAGGTGGTTCGAGGATTTGAAGGAGCTGCACAAACCTGTGCAAGTGGAGCTTGCTGATGGGAGCACTCTGAACAGCTCAATGGTGGGCACAATCAGAGAAATGGCACCAGATGGGACAACGGTTCGGTACACGGTCCTGAAGAGCGGGTTTGAAGAACAATCTCCTCTCTTTCTGTCAGCTGCTGAAAAAGGGAGCTCGGATCCACACCATTGGTAATGGCGACACCGAGATCTCCATGCCTGATGGAGATGGGGGTATAAGGATTGGACTTGGCAAGAACGTGCATGGAGTGCTCATGGTGGCATATGAGCCAGCACTTGTTTTTGCCCATGAATCTGGACATACACATAAGGATGCATCATCGAATGCGCATGGTCATGGAGGCTTGAACGGTCAATTGGCTCCTGCATCCGTCACTTACCGCATCGCGCACATGGCTCGTGTCGTGAGGGACATGACACGTGTCGTTTACAAGGACACGCACTCACCGCGCACCTTTGATGACACGTTGCTGGAAGCTGGGTCCTTACTGAAGTGTCAGCAACATGATGATGAAGTCTCACCCCACGTTGCGGCGTGGACTTTAGGGGGAAAAGGACAAAGGCTCAAGATGGATGAAGGAGACTCCACTGAACATGACTTACCTGGAACTGATGAAGACAATGCAACCAAAGGAAACGGAGGTGCTGCAGCAAATGGGTTACCTGCAGCAGACGTGTTTGTACCAGTGGAGGATAAAGATGATGCTGGAAGCAAGATGGGATATGCAACGACGAGGGTGCGCATGCCTCACTTGACATACAAGGAGACAGAAGACATGACCAAGGACCAGCCCGCACCCGCCAAAGAAGGACATGACATCACCTGCAGCCGCATGAGTGGCGTCCAACCGATTCCACATGGTGCAACATCTGCAAAGGTTCAGAAAGTCAATGGTGCTTATGCAGCACTCACATGGACGGGCTCCTCAAGGTGTGCTGCCCAACCGAACATCACGTAGCACCACACTCCTCACTCATGTGTTTGCAGATGTGCATGCTTACAAACACATGAGTGAGAGGGGGAGTGGGGTGTGGAGCATCTTATACGCTGGAGTGGGAGGCATAAGTTCATTCTTCAGTTTTCATTATCATTTACACGAGTCAGGTGCCAAGTGAACGGCTAATGTTACTGAACAAGAAAGGGGATCACTGATGCTGCCGTCCTGCACCAGCAGCTGCTGCTGCAATCGGCCAGCACTTGATGAATTACTCCAGCTGCTGCTGTCTGCGGGCAGCCGTTGTTACAAGTGTACCTGCTGGTTTCAGGGGGAGCATACCAAGACAGCACAGGTTAAGCCATTTGTAGCTTCATGTAGGAGGAGAGTGCAAGGTAAGCAGAATGAGAAGGGAGAAGGCAAGCTACTACTGCAGGGAGGCAAGCTACTACTGCAGGGCTAGGAGATCCCGAGGTTCCTCACCGTCAGGCGCTGCTGCAAGATGACAGGTGAAGCCGCAGGCGGTCATGTGCTGCTACAGGCCGCCAAGTGCTGCTGATCCTGCTGGGTAATACTGCTGCCGAGCACCAGCAGCTGCGGCCGAGCGCCACCAGCTGCTGCTGCAGAGCGTCAAGTGCTGCTGGTGGTGCTCGGGGGAGGGCCAGGTGCTGCCGCCGTTGCTCACCAACTGCTGTCACCGGGCATGTGCTAGTGCAGGGCGCCAGGAGCTGCTGCTGCTGCTGCTACTGCTGCTGTGCGCCACCTGAAGATAAAAGAAGCACACAGGAGAAGTGTTTAATCTGGAGCAGCTGGTCAAGCAGTGTAAGGAGACTACAGTGGAAGGGCTATGTACTTGTTCAAAGGAAGAAGACTAAGGAGAATGAATGAAAGGTCACTGACCTAGTCACGACGGAGAAGGCACGCAGGTGCAGCCGTGTGCCACAAGGAGCTGCCGCCGTGCTGCCGGGCGATGGTGCTGCTGCCGCCTGCCACGAGCTGGTGGTGCTGCTGCCGCACGCCAGGCGCTGCTGGCGCTGTTCCAGTGCATCACTAGCCGCAGCTGCTGCCCGTCACCAGCTCCTGCAGGGACGAGTGACACAAAGCGAAGGTTAGTCAAGTGATGTGAGCTCAATCAAGACGATTGGAAGGGACGGCATCTACTCTTGTGTACTAGGAGAATGAAGGGTTTAACTCACAAGGAGGTGTGTTGCTGCAGGTCGCCGGGTGGTGGTGATCTTGCCGAGCGCCGGTCGCCAGTCCAGCAGCTGAGTGTCAATCGCTGCTGGTCCCTCTCGCTCGCTGGATGCTGCCGCCACTCTCCAAGCGCCAAGTGTCACCGTGCAGATGCCACACACCCGCGCCAGGAGCAGCAGGTGCTGCAGACGTCGAGTTGCAAGAGCAGGTGGCCGCCGCCGATGCAGCAGCAGACTCGCGCCAGGTCGTCAGCGACTGCTGACGCAAGGGCAAATCGCCGAATGAGGGCGGAGCAGTCATGCGCAAGACGCTGCGAACGCTGCAGGAGCGACAGGTCGTCTGCAGTGGCAGGAGGAGGTCGCGCACCAACAGCAGCGCGAAAGGAGAAGCGGCCGCGCGACAGGAGAAGCAAATGCGCGCCCTGCTGCTGGAGTCTGTGCCAAGTCATCTGCAGTGGGGCCGCGGCAGTGTGCGTGGTACTGAAATCACGCGTCAGCACCTGCAACTGCGCGTCATGAGCAGCAGTTCGCCAACTGCAGGTGGTGGTAAGAATGAACGTGGGAGCAGGGACAATTGGCTTACCAACCATCCAGGAAGACAGATAGTTCAAGGTGCAAGAAGTTGATGAAGAAGTGTAGGAAAAAGATTGCACGGTGGAAGTATCCTCACCTGGTCACGATGAAGAAGGGACGCCGCTGCTGCCCCGCTGCTTCCGCCGTCCGCCACTACTGCCGGTGTTGCTGCAAGCCGTGCGTCACCAGGAGCAGCAGGTGCTGCTGGTCGTCGATTGGAGCCGACGCAAGCGCGCGCAAGGCGATGCAGGCGCGCAGGTCGTCATGGGTACGGCTGTCACCGTGAGATAGCTGCTGCTGCCGAGCGCCAAGTCGTCCGCAGTGGCAGGGGGAGATTGCGAACCAGCAGCAGCTGACACACGCCATGTCGGCGAGTTGCAGAAATCGCGAGCGACTGCTGCAAATCGCACGCGACTTACTGGCAGAAGCAGTCGTGCGACTTCAGCAGAATACGCACGACATGCACTACAGGCGCGACAGCAGCTGAAACAGTCGCGCATCCGCCATAAGAACTGTGCGCCAGCTGCTGGTGACGATTATCTACATCAAAAAGGAAAACTGCTGTTGCAAGCTAAACTGATATTTGAAACGCCTAAGGTTTTGGGCATCAACAGTAGCCATTGGGGAAAACGCTCTAAGAGCTAGTTGCTGCAGCCGTTGACTGCACCATATCTGAAATGGGAGAAAGTGACAAGCAGGAGCAGGAGCAGCCTGCTCGATGTGAGGAGGAGAAGCAACCCTCGACCCGAGAGGGGAGAATCGGGGGTTGGCGATATGGGAAGAAAACGCAACAGAAGCCGAAACTTCACATGGGGGAGGTTCGCGCAACTGGAAACAAGGAACGTGCGGAAAAGTGCTACAGTTACAACCATTCCGCAATCAGCGGAGTCAACGCGTTTGCAGCTTCAAAGTTCAAACCCTAAGGTAAGTGTGTGCCTGTGGTACACCACCTTATCCTCCCATCCTCCACAGAAATCAGCCTCACTAAAACCTACAGCAAGGGGGAGTGTTGGAAATATAAAGCATAAGAAAATATATCTGCCGTTAGGTTTTAGTGTAATCCTCTATATAAGCCTCTAGGCCCTACAATGATTGTACAATTATTGTAGGGCCTGCATTATTGGAGTTTAGAGGTTTGGGGGTATAATTATTGGTACTCCTTTATTGGAGTTACCATTATTGGAGGTAAAATTATTGGTGTGGATGGATGGATATGGGCAGGGTAGTTGATAGCATAAATGCCCTGCTGTGTGGTTTCATAACCAATCCTTGTTCTGAATCCTTTCAGTTGCAAGTTTCTCTTGCTATCTATTCTACAATCAAGGCTTCCACTACGACGGCACTATTCCTTTCTAGCAAATGTAATGGTTGACTGCAACGCAACTTGCGTAAAAGAATGTTGAGTAAGTTCTCTACCCACCAATCACTTATGAAAGTTCAATTATCATTGGTACATTTTGTTGAGAATGAAGTACTGTAAATGGTGTGGAAAGGTGGGTGGAGGTGAAACTGGGGGTCGGGTGTGGGTTGTGGAAGCAATTTCGTCACGGTTCTGGTTACCGCATATACAGAGAAGGTGACGGAGCGAACATCAACATTTTGCTTAGGGAAAATATGTCAATGGTAACTTACATGGGGCACTATAACGCGTACGGTAACGATTTCAACGCGTTTGGTAACTCGCTTAACGCGTATGGTAACTATACACTAGCAGCCCATCACGCGAATGGTAACTACATGAAACTCCCGCCGAAATGATCATGAAAAAAAAGACTTTATCGAGTTTGAAAGCTTTTACGCACAGTTTTATCTTTCTTGAACAAGTCACATCGCGACTTTGAAGGACCCCGCTTGTTCTATTACCACGGACCAAAAAGTTTCAGAGCCGTTTTAAATATGTATGTAGCTCGTACAAAAACGGTTAAAATCATATTTTTGATAGCATGATTGCGAACTTGCAAAATGATAAAAAAAAATTCCCCGAAAGGGCCTCGGGGCTTTTACTTTTTGTAATTACTGCAACGTTGGAGAATTTTTGCATGTGGGAAAAATACACCTCTTTAGAATTACATGTTTCATTTTTTTTAAGAACCATAAACGCCTTCTCGCAAGGAGTTTAGGATCGCCTCTCAAATTCATTTGCCATCTGAAAGGGGTATAGATTTGTTTGCCCCGGCTGCACGATAAAATGAAGTACAAACAGTTTGCGGAAAGAGCGCCATAATATCAGTTATGTAAGAACAATTGTTTTCACAACATTTACGTTTTTTCAATTAGCTTGATAATCGGAAAGTGTGTCAGAATTTCGGAAAAATGTGTCAGAACTTCGGAGAGTGTGTCAGAGGTTTCTGCTTCAAGATTCGTCAATTTAGTCTGACGCGAGCGGGAAAAACCAGAATCAGGGTCATTTTGGGCGAGGGTTTCTTCTAGTTACCATTCGCGTGATGGGCTGCTAGTGTATAGTTACCATACGCGTTAAGCGAGTTACCAACGTGTTAAGCGAGTTACCAAACGCGTTAAGCGAGTTACCAAACGCGTTGAAATCGTTACCGTACGCGTTATAATGCCCCATGTAAGTTACCATTAACATATTTTCCCTTTTGCTTATCGTCCACCTTGCCCCAACCCTTACGTCTTCGACCTCTCCTCTCCTCTTCAGATCCATTTTTCACTTGGGGCCTGCTATCCACTCTCTTTCTCCCCTTTTTTCCGTTCCTATGGAGCCAACAGCTTGTCCATTCGATGATCTTTCCGACGACCTGCTCTCGTACCTCCTCTCCCGCCTCGGACCGGACCTCTTTTCGTTTCGCCACGCCCTCGTCTGCAAGCGATGGCTCCGCGTCGCACGCGTCGCTCAAACCGACATTCGCGTCGCCAGTCGCAGGGAGATCTCGAGCGCGTCGCTGCTTCGCGCATTGTCAGCCATGCCGAACCTAACGTCCCTGCAGCTAGCGAATCGCAGCCTTGACGTGATCAACGATCAGATTATCTCCGGCTTAGGCTCGGCATTGCCGAACCTCAAGCGATTCTCCCTAACGGTTACCAGGCGTGTGTCCTCAGTCGGGGGAGTCACGGAAATAGGGCTGGACGGCTTTTTCCGAGTCTGTACACGGTTAGAGAGGCTCGGGCTTCACACTATACCTAGCGTCAAGTTCTTCCCTCCGTCCTTAATTTGTCTGACACAACTGGAGTTTCTCGACATCTCATTGGATGACCTTCGCAGCCTGCCCGAAGAAATCTCGCAGCTGCCCGCTTTACGCGTCCTACACCTCCAGGCGCCTCACCTCAGGGCTCTGCCCGAAAGCCTGGGCAGACTGAAGAATCTCAGCGTACTAGAACTGGTGGAGTGCAATTCGTTGCCTGCCCTGCCTGAATCCTTCGGGCAGCTCTCCAGCCTCGTTCACTTCAGTGCCACCACCTGCTACAGCTTGACATCTCTGCCCGAAAACTTCGGTCAGCTGCAATCTCTCAAGACACTCGAGCTTGCTCTTCCGTGCCTCACAAGCCTCCCAGAATCCCTCGGGCAGCTGCCAAAACTTTGGAACCTGGTCCTCTGCTCCTGCCATTCCCTCCACTACCTCCCATCCTCCATGAGCCGTTTATCCTCGTTAGAGGGTCTTGAGATAAGCGAATGCTTTCTTACTCTTCCTGATGACATTGGCTTTCTTCCCAATCTCTGGAGCCTGGAGATACACAATTGCGAAAATCTTACGGAGCTGCCCGTTTCCCTCCCCAAGCTGGACCGCCTGACCGACCTCATGATCACAGGCTGCCGAAACCTTTTCAGGCTCCCTGAGGATTTCGGGGATTTGCCGGCTTTAGAAAAGCTGGAGCTCTGCAACACGTACCAGCTCTCGCACTTGCCGGACTCGTTCGGGCAGCTTAAAAATCTTAGGACCTTGAAGCTGCTTGCCTGCAACAGGCTTACAACGCTGCCTTGCACATTCTCCCAACTTTCTTCTCTTGAAAGTCTCAAGCTCATCAATTGTGAACTTTTCTCTGCCCTGCCTGAAGAGTTTTCGCAGCTGCCCAACCTCCAAGAGCTGTCCATTAGTTGGTGCCCTGAGTTTCGGCACATCCCATCTTCCTTCACTCAGCTTTCTTCTTTAACGCATTTCAAGGTCACCTGCTGCCGGAATTTCGCAGAGCTTCCTGAAGGCGTTGGGCTTATGTCAAATCTGACGTCGTTTGAGCTAACGGGCTGTGACCGGTTGACACGTCTACCCCCGTCTTTAGCGTTGCTTTGTGAGATAGAGAGGTTGGAGATTAGTGGGTGTTCAAACATTATAGATGCGCCACTCTTTCTTTGTCATCTTATAGGCTGATTTGGCTTCTAAAGCTAGAATATGTGTTTTTTTATGTGAAGCTGTGAACATAGAGATAGTGTGCTCACATCTCTGAAACATCTCTGGTGTATTTTTAATAACGGGCATGTCATTACACAACTATTCTGTGGCAGCTGTGCCTTTGAAGTTCGGTCGAGTGATACAGGCGACGACGAAGCAAGCAGGCGCTTAGGGCGGGTCCAGCGCGTACATTTTCCGTACATTACGGTTCATCCAGTGCGGTAATCTGTAACGCGTACATATGAGAGAAAAACACCCTCTTGACACAATAACAATGACAAGGCCGCCATGGATCCTTCCGAGGACTTTCGAGAGCCTATTACGTGAAGGTTACTTATCAGTTGGTAACATTGAGTTAAGATCTGATATCCTGAGTACATTACGAAGCAGAGGATATAAATTATATGTCTACTACGCGGACATTATAACCACTGCTACTCAGGAGTTTCTCATTGTTGCAAGCATATCTCAAGTGAACCCAACTCCAAGGTCTCTCGGTCTCACCGGTTTCTGTTCTGGCTTTCAGTGTCAACCTTGGTATCATACGCTCCGATTCTGGAGTTTTTATCAACGTTCCCAACATGATCAGCAATCTCGCCATGATCCCAAGGCAACGACCTCGAGAACGCATCACTTTGCTCAGGAATGCAAGTCTCAAGCACAAGGAACAG